TAATTTATTACCCTCAGATTTGGTGCAAGCTGTCTCCTGATGGCTTACTACAGAAAGAAGGAAACATTCTAACTCTGGGTTGGTAGAAAAACTCCACCTGCTGACGGCCACCAATCATCTCGGCGCCGATTATGAGTATTCACTGCATGCCAACGGTCGCGTGCTTAGAACGGGTTTTTCCCACGTGATTTCATACGATCGCATTTGTTCTTGACAAACAACAATGTTTAGTCAGGCAAGCGGTCATATGTGAAGCTTAGAATATTTTCTATTGGTTGTGGCACACGTAGCAAGTTGCATTTTTTTTCTAGAATCCGCGAAAAAAAAAATGCTCTTGGGTTACCTTGGTGTCTAATAATTCATGTAGCACAAAAAAGACCACGAACTGAATCGCTGCGGGAAACGAAAACAATAATGATAAACAAGCGTGTAATCACTCCAAAACTGAGGGCATTGCACATATACAAAAGGTAAGCATTGTCTCACTAAATACATTACCAATAAAGTCTTTGGTTTTATCCTGCGAGCGAAGCGAAACATACAAGTGCGAGCATACTGTCCTGAACTACACTTCCAGTGAACAAGCGCACCATCCAAAGCACCGAGCTCGCTTTTATAGCGTTTGGGGCGCTCAAACCTTTGAAAACACAATTATAATCAATTTTATTATTTCAATTATTTTTATTAAGTGCGCCTATGCGTTTTTCTTTTTTTTTTTTACTTTTACGTTTACGTGCCATTTTCTTAGTTATATAATATTTTTCCAGAAGTCTGACAACTATATAGTCTGTTTCATTATAAGAGCCACATAATCAAAAATGTAGACAAAAAAAAGAAAAAAAAAAAAGAACGCGAACACACATTAAAAATGCGATGTAACGGCGCATTCAAAATTAGTCGTTAGTTTTTTAGCGAGCAGCAATTTCGTAGGACGCCATTGTTACCCGATGAAGGTTATAAAAAGTGCAGTGCAACTGTTAGCTCGGGGTCGTTAACGTGCATTACGCAGTATATGTGATACACGATCGCACGACCGTAAAATGCAGATGGGCGACTGAACCCAGGGTACCTGCTAAAGCCCCTTGATAAAGGTTTTTTTTACAAGTATACCGCCAACCATTATTGTGAAAACGCGCAAGACACGTGCCACGAGCGGGCGCTCCGCCGCCATTCGCTTTCAAGGGCCAGTCATTATATACCCGTGCCCACGGAGCCCGTGCCACACGGGCAACTCGAATTCCATTTACAACGAATGACATTTGAAGGATCGGACAATCAGCGCGCGACCCTCCGAGCGTGGGGCGTTCCACGCGCGACAGATTGCGAGCCGATTCGTTGATCACATGAATGTCATTCGTTGTAAATAACATTCGAGTTGCCCGTGTGGCACGCGAGCCACACGGGCGACTCGAATGTATTAGTGCTGCGTCGGAATTTGTGTCCAAGGGCCGGTCGAGACACGGGCCTCGTTCACTGGCACCTTTGAGGTTATTTGAAAGACCAACGCAAATACATCAAGGGCATTTAGTCCCTACACGCTCTGCAGCGGGAGCTCCGTGCTTTGAACGGAGCTCGCGCTCGAACATTTCTCCACGTGCTCTGATTTGCGGTGCCACAACACACTCGGCCAACGATCCCCCACCACACTTGATTTATCCTGTGAGCTAGAGCAAATGAGCTACACTTAGAGTATCGGCAATTTTTCCCCCGATATTGTTTTGGGCGCCGCCATGTTGGTGGTTAGTAACAAATCAAATGCAACTGCCGGTCGTCATGATTCAAAAGTGCGACTTCCTCAGCAATAGTTTCGGTGTCAGGAAGCTCACGTAATATTGCTTTGCTTTGTCGCCAACTGTCTAAACATTTGTGGAGGACGAAAAAGCGTTTCCTGTGATTTCAGATAAAGCTTCACATAACTGACATTCATAATTTTAAGCGTCCATATCTGTATGAAGCGTAGCTGATTTATTGGGTCTAGTTTAGCCCGACCGCATAGGCACAGAAAGAGAACGAACAGCTTAACTTCGCGCTCTTGGCGCTGCTTCAGTGGCTTCATCAGCCCGTAGCGTTGGTTGCGCTCCGAACTAAGGTAAAGCAAAGCAAATATTCAGATCTTAGGGTTTCACAAGCCAAACCAACAAAAAGCACTTAACGCGCCAACTAAAAAAAAATTATTGCGGGTTTATTTTGACTAGCCGTAGATCTTTTGACGTGCAACCGAAATCTCAGATTGGCCTCCGTCGGATTGCGGGCACCTTGGCCGATGTTTAAACCCGACAAATATAGATTCATAGGCCAGCGCGTTGGCTGAGAGGAACTGAGACGTTTTAGTGTCATTGCCACTTAAGAGCCACCGAGGTGATTTTTGAAACAAAAAATATAGTCGAACCATTCCGACAAGCATAGTTTGATATCGTAAATGATTTATGCAAGTGATAAAAACATTCAAATGTTTTCGCGTACGTGGCGGAATCTGAAATGGCAGAATGCATTTCATGGCGCCCATTTCATTTTGGATCGCGTCGGGCATGTGTACCGACGCACAGTAGAACACGCGCAAAAGTAGCTGTGGTGCACCCGCAGCCTCGCTCTTGTTGTTCTGAGATCTCTGGCTCGCTCACTGTAAAGTCACTGGATCCTGGGAAAGTAACGCCAAGCTCCGCGTGTGGTCCCCATCTTGGTCCATGAAATGAGCAATTTCTCTTGACCCCTTCGTTCTTGGTGAGCCTATCTAGATTCGCTGGTGACGGGTAGCTTTATTGAGTCGTTTTTTGTATACCGAGATTTTGCTAACCACACACCGGCGAAACAGGCGTACACGTTCGTACCACGACCAGATGCTGTATCGGTGCTTGGAGGCACTGAAAAATAAGTTTACTGTCTTGAAATGCGTAAGAAGAACAATATAATTGTAAGAGATCCATGGAGATGGGCCTGATTAATAAGTTGATCGCATACGAAGTGCCAGACTCTTATATTGAAGAGGAACGCTTCCAGTACGATGATGCTCCATGGTGATCTTGGCGCGACTGGTTTAGAACGACCCCCTGGAAGCTTCGAAGATTTAAATGGACCAAGATGGCGATTTCCATGGCAACGTAGGCCGATTAGCCAATCGCCTTGCGAGGTTTGGGTCGTCTGTATGTTAGTATCCGTTTGTGTCCGGCTAGCAGGTAGGGAAGGCAATGGCGCTACTTTCCCAGGATCCAGTGACTTTAGCTCACTGCGGGCATCCAGGTATCTGACACCCTGACATCTGGCGCTTTTTCTGTCTTTCACGTGGCGTTCCAAGCGGCACACGACGGAAAATGCACATCAAGCTGTTCTTGAACACGTGTCGCCATCTGTACTTTATATTAAGAAACTACAATTCGCCGTAACTGAATGGGAAAAGTTTGAGGTCTTATAACATTCTTAACGTGTAATATATCGATATGGAAGTTCTGGAAAATGTAATATCGAAGGATGCTTCATAATTTAATGTCTCGTTATTTTGATTAGTTGACGTGATTCCGTTTTTATAGCGCCATAAAATATTACAATTTTAAACTTTATTTTTTATTTTAAAATATACATTATCTGTACAGTTCGTTGCTTACTTTTTTATTTTATTACATCTAACCGAACGCTCACGTAAAATATCGTGGACGATGGGACGTTATAACTCGAGAAATAATTTTTTCAATATTAGAGACTGTGGTCTATTAAAAGCCAAATAATTAACTAACAACTAAATATAATCGTGATATCAAGACATTAAAGCATTGTTGAGAAACTGCTCTTTGATTTGACACTAACTTTATAATTGTAAGATACACAGAACGAAAGTTATAAGCCGTCGGAAAAGCACCAAAACGTCATACACGGTGGGGTTGCACCTTAACCCTTCGAACTGCAAACTCATCTCATTTTTTAGAAAAGAAACCTTTTTTTTTCCAATAACAATTCTATTGATTCTAACGTTATTGAGCTTTTTTATCTTACAAGTACCTAAGGGGTCACGTCGACTCGCGTTTCTCCTGGAACATACATGTTCGGTCAGTGTTACCATCGTGCAATCGTTCCTCGGGCTACCTGAAACATACACTTGTTGTGATCCTCCTCACTTAGGAGAAACTGCATACATATAATTAATTCGGCTGAAACTTGAGTACGCATCGAACATCTGGGATTCTAACCAAGCCTATTTGGCCACTGAACTAAAAGCTTTTCGAATTCGAGTCGCGCGCTTTATTTTTTTCTGAATATTCGAGACGTTCCAGCGTCACCTTCTTAAAACAAAACGCCGACCTTCATAACTGGCCTTAATTAGCAAGATTTCTTGCTTATGCCTTTTACATCGCATTTACTATGCACCATCTCTCAGCCAAGGCACCCTAACACAGTCGCATCTAATCACACCTCGTCCTTATCACGGATACAAAAATGGCCGTTTCACCTGCCGCACTTGTATTCCTTCTTCACCAAAATAGCAGGGGGGTTGAATGATCCGACAGAGCGCATCGACACCGAGACTAACCCCGATTGTTTTTGTTGTCTTATCAGCAGCCATTTAGGTATTGTTTGAGACACGACTTCTTGTACGTTTGCACTGCTCTCTTGTGTAAGTTTTTTTTTCTTCTCATATATGCTGTACTTTACCGACCCCCCCCCCCCATGTAACGTCCTTCCCAAGAGGACCTTTAAGGTATTTCAATAAATAAATAAATGTTTCAGCTTCCCCTTCAAATAACACGGGGCCTGCTCTATGTTAATACTGCTTCGTGGTTTGTAATTCGTTCGGTGCTTTTATCGGCTGATATATCAATCTGATTGAGTGTGGTGCGATAACTAGATGCGCGGGACTTGTTCCTTTCCGTGTTTCTGGAACTTGCAATCAGCGTAGCTGAACTCGAACCGAAGCATAATGTTTACTTAGCTCAGATGACCGAAACTGGCTTTACTGTGAAGTAGACTTTATTAATCGGCATAAACAATTCAGCACTACAATAGTGAAGCAAATACCCCATAAAAGACAAAACGTGCAAACGACGTGATTATCAGTGAATCGCCCACGCGCTCCAAGCGGTAAACCCGCTAGGCTCGACGAGGGACGATGCCTATCGGCAGACGCTTCCGTCATGGCGTCGAAGCATGCGGGCGTCTCAATAGTGTTGAAACGCCTTGAGAGACGCTGGCGGCGATGATGACGTCAGCCAGGTGACGTTGCGTGAATTTACAAGTGCTCCCGTTTGGAGGTTAAAGGCGCAAGAATTGTCATCTAAGATGCATCGGTGAAGCGCGTGAGCTACATCCCGCCCGCGATGTCCACAGCGGCGCCCGTCATAAAAGAGCTTCCGGGGCCACAGAGGAATACGATGACTTCAGCCACCTCTTCTGGGCGGCAGACTCTCTTTAGAGGAATGGCCTCCAGCACCTTGTTTTTTTCGTCGGGCTTTCTATTCGCTCTGGAGATGGGCGTGGACGTAAGTGCAGGCAGGACGCTGTTGACACGGATGCCCTGCGAGGCGAGCTCCTTTGTCGCCACTTTGGTCAATGCCTCCAACCCCGCTTTGGACGCTACGTATGCGGCGCGGTAGGGAGGGCACAGCTTTGACACGAAGCTTGAAATGTTCACGATGGCCCCATCGCGAACGTTGCCTGCAGTCATAGCCCGCGCCGCTGCTTGGGTTATCAGGAACGTGCCCTGCGAGTGTGAAGAAATACCGCGTAAACTGATGTTCTGTCGTTTTCTTTTTTTCAGTAGGTCTACTTGTTTAGTTTATTATGATTGCTCCCAGAGTAAAGGGACACTTATATCAAAGTCCAGATATATCTCTAACATTAAGAAATAAGTTTAACATGATCAACAGTGTCGGGTAATGACAAGTGCACATTTTTGTTTTAACGGATGGCTGTATTTATATCTAATATACATATTTACGCTTAAGAGCACGATTAAAAATATATTAATCTTTTTTTTTTTATCATTTTAACAAACATGGGAAGCAGAATTTTTGTCGTGCATGCCGTGTCTGTGCGTCATTGTTAGTAACGATCTGTTACGGGGCTTGAGGTCTTTTTATTGTGTTGCACACAGGACACAGTTATGCTCTGAACAGATTTATCAAAATAATCGAGACAAATTTACAAAAATTCAGGAGTGGAGTGTAAGATGATACTTTACTGGGAAGTTACCACTGATCCTGAATATGCTAAAGAATATAACTGACCCCACGACAGCTTTTGCCTAGTTGGAAGAGATAGAGGCTCAAAGCCTCGGGGCTTTCCACTTTAAATTTATATGGGTGGTTGTTGTTGTTGTTTGCGGGTTTTTTGGCGCAACAGCAACGGAGGCCATACTGCGCCAGACTAAATTAACTAATGAAACTCCTATGGTTACCTCATTACAAAAAGGCGATCCTAAAAAGAACTGGGACTAGATCTGGTGTATAAGGCCAGTACTAGTAATATATGATAAAACTCGATCAAGAGGAACGAGAGGGTGCTTTCCCAGCAAAAGAGCGGGATGAAATGGAATACAAAATCTAAAAAGCTCTGGAAAATGAGTGCGTCGTTCAGTGTCAAATTCCGGGCAGATCCACAAAATATGAATAATAGTGAGATTGTCTCCACAGTGCTCACAAACTGGTGGATCCTCCCCACAAAGGAGATATCTGTGTGTAAGGAAGGAGTGCCCAATTCGAAGCCGGCACAATACAACTTCGTGAAAGCGGTTCTTAAGTGAGGAGCTTTCCCAACACCCAAGGACTGGTTTGCTTACATGGAGCTTGTTATTAGTCTCCATGGACCACTCTGTCTGCCACAAACTAAAAAGTGATGACTTAATTAATGATCTGATATCCTGATAGGGCAAGCTAGCTTGATATTTAGAGCAGTTACCTGAAGATGCTGCGAGCCTGTCTGCCTCCTCATTACCCTTTATTCCCACATGACTCGGAACCCAGCAGAATTTTATATTGTGACCTTTACGTAAAGCTCCGTTAAGTTTATTTCGCACCTGTTCCACAAGCATATTCTTAGTGGCTTTTAGAGAGCATATTGCAGTAATGGCACTTTGAGAGTCCACAAATATTACGGCCCGTCTAGTTTTAGCCTTCAGAATATAATCCAATGCAAAAGACACAGCATAGACTTCAGCAGTAAATATACTCGCAAATTCTTCTAGACGTTTAACTTTTACAAAACGACTTGAATGCACGGCGCACCCGACAAATGATGAAATCTTGGCACCGTCCGTGTAAAAGTGAGCATAATCTTTATATTTCTCTTCTAGGTCAAGGGATTCCTGCTGAATCACAAGAGCTGATATGCTATTCTTATTAAACTTAGTGAAAGCCCAGTCACAAAAAACACGCACCACATTCCAGGGCGCCACGCAGACTGTGTTCTGAATTAGGTTAAGTTCGTCCAGATGAAGTTGAAGTGAGGAACAAAATTGCTCTATACGAAAACTCAAGGGTCTGACAATGCTTGGCTTATTTTCAAAGAGACGGTGGAATTGAGACCTTTGTACGGAATGATACGTTGGGTGATCAGGGTTTGCTAGGATCCTAGACGCGTAGGTTAAGCTGAGGTATTGACGTCTTTTACACAGCGACATTTCGTTTGATTCCGCATACAAACTAAGTACAGGCGATGTCCGAAAAGCACCTGTTGCCAAACGCAAGCCAAGATGATGTACAGGATCCAACATCTTGAGAGCAGATGGGCGAGCTGATCCGTACACCACGGCGCCATAATCAAGACGAGATCGCACAAGCGCGGTGTACAAATGCAACAAACATTTCCGATCCGACCCCCATGATTTATGAGCCAAAACTTTCAGAAGGTTTGTGGAACGAAGGCAAACTTCCTTGAGAAATTTCAGGTGGGGAATGAAGGTAAGTTTTTTGTCGAATATGACACCAAGAAACCTGTGCTCCTTCCTAACAGGGATCAGAGTACCGTTTAGTTCCAAAGCTGGGTCTAAGGAAAGCCCGCGACGTAGGGAAAAAGGCACACAGACTGTCTTTGCAAATGAGAACTTGAAACCATTTTCATCTGCCCACTTACAAAGTTTGTTTATAGCCAGTTGCAACTGCCGCTCACAACTAGAAAGATTGCAAGAAGATGAGGAGATCTGTATATCGTCAGCATAAAGAGAGTAGGAAATGGATCGAGGTAGCATTCGTGCGAGAGAATTCATTTTCAGTACAAACAAAGTGACGCTCAAAATGCCTCCCTGTGGGACTCCGTTTTCTTGAACAAAAGGTTTAGACAAGGTGCTGCCAAGCCGGACTTGAAAGGTTCTGTTTGTTAGAAAGTTTTTAATGCATTGCAACATCCTACCACGGATATTACAAGCATACAAGTCTTTCAGGATACCATATCTCCAAGTGGTATCATACGCCTTGTCTAAGTAAAAAAACACTGCAACACAGTGCTGCTTGTTCACAAATGCCTCGCGTATAACGGTTTCTAGGCGAACCAAATTATCGAGAGTAGATCGACCTCGGCGAAACCCGCACTGATTTTTGTCAAGGACCTTTTGGCTTTCTAATATGTATACTAACCGCCTGTTTATAAGTCTTTCAAATGTTTTCCCGACACAGCTCGTTAGAGCAATGAGACGGTAACTTGATGGTAGTGAGGTGTCTTTCTGTGGCTTTAGGAGCGGGATTACATGTGCATGCTTCCAGGCATGGGGAAAGCAGGCTTTTTCCCACAATAAATTGAAGAACAAGAGAAGGCCTTTCAGGGACTCAGGAGAAAGGCGACGAAGCATTTCATAATGAACTGCGTCGGGCCCTGGAGCAGAAACCCTCGTTATGTCAAGTGCCATTTCAAGTTCACACTGCGTGAAAGGCTGGTTATAAGGCTCAGAGTCTCCTCCAGACATGGAGATATTTTGTCGCTCTGCACGAGATTTAAATCTACTGAATGAATCACTGTAGTTTGCCGAGCTGGATGTGTTATAAAAATGTTCACCAAGGATGTTGGCGATGTCAACTAAAGATGAGGAAGGGGCGTCAAAAGTAGGGATTGCAAAGCACCTATAATCTCCATTTATTTTCCTGTATCTATCCCAAACCTCCTTGGCAGGCACAAAACTATTTATAGAAGAAACATACTTCATCCAGGATTTCCATTTCGACTGCTTCCTGGTCCAACGGGCTTTAGCTTTCCGCTGCCTGAACTCTGCGAGATTACATGATGTGGGGTATCTGCGAAGTTTTCCCCAAGCCCTGTTTTGATCCGCTAAGGTTGTGGCACATTCCTTGTTCCACCATGGTTTGCATTTTTTTGGCACATTACCAGAGGTTCGTGGAATAGACACCTCAGCAGCATTTAGTATCTGCTCAGTAATATACAGTGTAGAATCTTCGGGAGACATAGAAGAAAGCAGAGCAGGGTCCAAAGTGGAATGTAACCCAAAAAGTGACCAGTCAGCTTTATCTAACTTCCACCTAGGGATTCGTTTCAAAAGTGAGGGCAGCTGAACAACGCTCTCTAAGACAATCGGAAAGTGATCACTGCCAAAAGGGTTGTTGAGAACATTCCATGTAAAGCAAGGAAACAATGAGGGGGATGAGATCGACAGATCTATGGATGTAAATGTGGTGTGAGCTGCACTGAAAAATGTTGGCTCTCTCCCATTAAGAAGGCATAGCCCATATGCCAATAAAAAACGTTCAACTACACCTCCACGAGAGTCTCGACGAATACTACCCCATGGGGGGTGAAGGGCATTAAAATCGCCTAGAATCATAAAGGGTTGTGGGAGCTGACTTACAAGACCCTGCAATTCACTAAGATGTAATGGAGTGTTAGGTGGTAAATAAAGTGATACTACAGTTATGAGGCGGTCTAAAAGAAGGCGCACTGCCACGGCTTCAAGTGGTGTGCAGAGTGGGACCTCAGAGCAGGCAACCCCACCCTGTACAACCACTGCCACGCCACCAGAGGGAGTGTCACTAAGACGGTCTTTTCTAAAAACCCGGTGATGTCTTAAAATATGAGGAGAGCGGTCATGAAGATGAGTTTCCTGAAGAGCAAGAGCTATCGGCCGAAGCTCATCCATGAAATGATTTACATCATCAATATTTCTTAAAAGTCCGCGACAGTTCCATTGCATAAAATTTACTTTTGTCATTTATAAAATTTGTATATGTCGGAAAATGTAAATTAATAAAACTCGGTAGTTAAAAGGTTAAAACTCAGGAGAGAGACCACTTGGATTACTTCGGCGCAGTAACCGGTTTTTTGTTCTTCCCTGCACGGGTCTGCGTCTGCCACTCCATGCTATCCGGGTCAGAAGCAGGAGTAGCCGAATCGTCTAACTCCATGGACACGTCTGCCTCTTGAGTTGTGTCGCTGGTGTTGGCCAGCGTTTTCTTTCGACTTGGATCACGGGGAGCCAGGCCCCGGCCGCGACCAGCCGAGGAGGCAGCGGAGGTGCTGGGCAGAGCGTCTTTACACTCTGCCTGCCCTGACCATTTGGGTACTAGGGGAGCAGCACGGGAGTTGTGCCGCTCTTTGGAGGAGGCCCTCTCCAGTGAGTTGGGGCGAGAGTGTCGCCCCTTCTCACCGGGGGAAGGCGTCGAAGTAAGGACTGGCAATGGCATTGCCTGCCTGTCCTTAGACTTGAGGGCAGCTAGTGTGCTCCCTCCAGAAGGTGGGGAGAGCTGCTGCCCCTGCGGCGGGGTGGGGGCCCGAAGGGCCACTGCCAGGGCTTCAGGCGAGACCTGGGTGGCCCTCGATTCCGTTCGCGGTGGAGGGCCCCTGCGCACCGCGTCGGAGTATGTGCCTTTAGAAAGAAAAGAGAATCTTTGTTTTGCCTCGGGATACGATATGTTTTCTTTGGCTCTTAGAGTAAGGATTTCTTTCTCTTGTCGCCACAAGGGGCAAGAGCGAGAGTAGGCAGGGTGAGGACCCTTGCAGTTGGCGCAGGAAATGGCATCTTCACAGATGTCGGCTACATGGTCGTGGCTGCCACACTTTGCGCAAGTCTCTCTCCCTCGACAGCTGCGCGATCCGTGGCCAAAGCGCTGGCAACGGAAGCACCGCTGGGGGTTGGGGACATAGGGGCGGATGCGGCAATTAAGGTATCCCGCCTTGATGGTTTCTGGCAGTGTGTGTCGTTCAAATGTAAGAATGACGTGTTTGGAAGGGATTTCCTCACCATTTTTTCGGAATATAATGCGCTTAACAGCAACAACACCAACACCTTGGAGTCCCTCGAGGAGTTCTTCCTCACTAGTGTGCAAGAAGTCATCCTCGGAAAGGACCCCACGGATGGTGTTGAGCGTGCGGTGAGGGCTAACTGACACTTTGACATCAAGAAAACTAGTCAACTTCAGGATTGCTTCACTTTGTTTTTTGGTGGTTACCTCCACTAAGAGGTCTCCGGAGTGCTGCTTTTTGGCCTTGTAGGAGAACCCGACAAGGTTTTCTAGTACCTTGGCAACAACAAAGGGCGATAGCTTTGCAACAGGTTTATGTTCATCGAGCGAATGAACAACGAAAAACTTTGTAAATGTTTCGATTTCAGGATCTTTGTCAGTGGTCTTGGGTTCAAGACAACGCCTTTTAAAGCCTTGCCCTGAACGGGGTTTAGAGGGGTGGGGCGCCATAGGAGGGCAAAGAGTGTTCAGAATCCGCGGTGCACCGCCCACCACCGAGCCCAACAAGGGGTTAGGTAACGCACCATAACAAGAAGGGCTTGGCTGGAGACGTTACGCTAACAGTGCTGCCGGGAAACTATACCCAAGTGTGGGTCAAGACAGAGGTCCATTGCCACCCAAGGTTAGCCCTTGCCGCCAAAGAGGGGTGAAAAAGGAGTGAGATAAGTGAAAGAGAAGTAAAGGAAACAGGAAAGGTAAAAGTGAGAGATCGGAGGGGATAGTAGAAGAAAAGGCGACTAGACTGAATCATCCTGGCCGGGCCTTACCAGGACTCCCGTCTATGAGAAGCGGGGGCCGAAGTGGTGTATTGCCTCACCCGGGGGGCCCCGAAGGGTCCAAACCTGCCCCGGGCTCGGCTCAACCACCAGGATTCCCTTTTCCCCAGACACGGGAAAGCCACGCACAGCCAGACGTGGGCGGGCGAACCCGCATGGCTCAGGGTCCGTGGAGACGCCACTCTCCAAACACCTGCTTTCACAGGTGCCCCCTGCGGGGAATTTATATGGGTGGCTGTCGCCATCTATTTTTGTGTGAACCCGTCGAAACATCGGAAACAGCCGTGTCTGCTGCCTTGGCGTATCCGGTATTTCGGTCCGTCGGCCGCAGCCCTCTCCATCGGCGCAGCGGGAAAGCTCGACATCGCCGATAGCGCAGTGCACATGCATTTTCTCCTACGGTAGATTTTCAAACCACTCGGGAATGGTGTGGCGCTCAGAAACCCACTGTCCAGTGCACATGACCTAAGTAAAACATATTCTCCCAGTAAGGTATTACGGTTCCGCGTTTTCTGAGGGTGCTTGCAGAGCCTTGAGTACTCGGGGTCCCGACGGCACCGCGCCCCGTGGAGAGATAGTGCAACCAAGCTCTGCTGCGCTGTCATCGTGCGACGCAGGAGAGGCTGATTGCACTATCTCTCCACGGGGCGCGGTGCCGCCGGGGCCGAGATGCGCTCCGATAGCAAACCGAAACTTAAAAACCCGTCGAATTTGTGCGGTTTTTCGGAATGCCGTAAAATGCTTCGTGTTTCTTTTATTGTTCTGCAATTTGTTGATTTAGTGTTTTTTGATGATGCTGAGGAATTTTCTGATTAAAACAATGCCTTTAAACACAATATTAAAAAAAAGTTAATTACGCAAAGTAATTAACACCCTACTTATCCCGGACTTTAATAATTTTTGCAAAATAGGCCCCTGGCCCTAGACCAAAACGACACATCTTTTTTTTTGTTGCGACGCGTAGATTTTCGAAATGTCGAATTTGTCCACCTTACGTGAACACGTTGTATATTTTCTTGGCTTATGTGTACTATATTTGCTCACACCTTAGGATGGCACTTTTCGCATAAAGTCCAGCCCACGAAGGAATTCCGTGTTTGAAAAAGACGATATACTTAGTTCAAGCGTTTTATTGCCGGTAATTTGTTTTGTTCCGAATGCGCGTAAAACATATCGCGGTGTTCCTTGTTTAAATGTTAACTGCGACAAAAGGAATTAATGTCGTGCTTAATGCGCCTCCGTTTGATTTTTTTAAATATTTTCTTACGTATTTTGACAATGTCATGATCAGTTCAGTTTCATATGCCTCGAAGTTAAGGAAATTACCTTCAGATTTACTCGGATGATATTATCAAACATCTCTTCCGGCACGTCAACAAATGGGGTCATAGGGTTCGGTATGCCGACGCAGTTAACCACGATGCTTGCAGGCCGAGAACACAGCCTGGAGACATTCTCGAAGAGCAGAGCCACAGACTTCGACTGGCCCACATCTACCTGGAATGCTTCATGTCCATTACCTGCGCAGTTGAAACGACCGATTGAGACGACACATATGCATACACACTGTTGCATTCTTCACGAACGTCATGCTACTCGTAAGGGCGCATAGAGCGTGATCCAAACCAACGCGTTTTTGTCCTCGCGTAGGCCGTGCGACTCCCGGAAATTGCGAATTTCGTGAGGTCGCGCTGAATCCTTGCGCCTTTCAGGCTCGCATGAAGCGGTTTTAGACATGCAGCGACTCCGCGGCCGAAATCGCTGCCTCTAGCGGCGCGGCGGCACAGATCGCGAGGTTTCATTTCACATGAGTGTTTTCTGCCGTTGCGATGGCCAGTGTTGCTTGCAGCAAGGAGATGTGCACCGTCGGTTACAGCGCCTTCTAGCAACAAGTTTAAGACCTTAGTTTTCAGTTATCCCTTCAATTTGACCCTGAGAAATCAAAAACAAAAGCGTTTAAAATACTAAATGAACCTTCGCCTAATTTTTTTTTCTTCAAATTTTGTTGTCGAGGAGGATGAAACTTCGGATCATCCTTGACAGCATCAAAGGCAGCGCCTTCCTCGGATGTAAAGACTCCAACTGATATGACCGACCTGAACCTCCTGGACAGCGTTGGAATATTCGGTATTTTCGAAATCGAGGTATGTGGTCATGATCCGGAGTATGTCCTTCTACTAAGAATGGAAGAGTGCCTTTGGTCCCATTGTTCCTAAACTCTTTAAGCTGCGCGTCCCAAAGAACCCGACGCTTCGACACTTCACTGATAACCAGTTCATTGAACTGGGCGCGATACATTTTGTCTTACTTGGTGTGACGATCTGCGTTGGAAATGACACGTCAATGTCGCTCAGTTCTTCTTCTTTTGTTTTTATCACTATTGCGTAAGCCGCTACCGATTAGCGTCGCTTCCGCTCGCTACTGTTGATACTCAGGCAAGGAAATTAAAAAAAAAAAAAAAAAAAGACCAGCGTAATTCATTGAGAAAACAAATTCCGAGGAAGGAGACGGCAATCCCCATCCTCCATATTCTCCTGAACAGTTCCGACGGAGGCACATGAGAGTCTTCTGTGGTAGCACATGAGCAGTTCGTACCGGAGGGCCCATCGTACCGTGTCGGACGTGAAAAAACTGGTGCCTTAAACTCTCTAATAGGGAGTTTTAGGGAACTGTTTTTGCACATCCGATACCGTACGATGGGCCGTCCGGTACGAACAGCGCGCATGAGAGTCTTCTGTGGTAGCGCATGCGCAGTTCGTACCGGTGGGCCCATCGTACCGTGTCGGACGTGAAAAAACTGGTGCCTTAAACTCTCTAATAGGGAGTTTTAGGGAACTGTTTTTGCACATCCGATACCGTACGATGGGCCGTCCGGTACGAACAGCGCGCATGAGAGTCTTCTGTGGTAGCGCATGCGCAGTTCGTACCGGTGGGCCCATCGTACCGTGTCGGACGTGAAAAAACTGGTGCCTTAAACTCTCTAATAGGGAGTTTTAGGGAACTGTTTTTGCACATCCGATACCGTACGATGGGCCGTCCGGTACGAACAGCGCACATGAGAGTCTTCTGTGGTAGCGCATGCGCAGTTCGTACCGATGGGCCCATCGTACCGTGTCGGACGTGAAAAAACTGGTGCCTTAAACTCTCTAATAGGGAGTTTTAGGGAACTGTTTTTGCACATCCGATACCGTACGATGGGCCGTCCGGTACGAACAGCGCGCATGAGAGTCTTCTGTGGTAGCGCATGCGCAGTTCGTACCGGTGGGCCCATCGTACCGTGTCGGACGTGAAAAAACTGGTGCCTTAAACTCTCTAATAGGGAGTTTTAGGGAACTGTTTTTGCACATCCGATACCGTACGATGGGCCGTCCGGTACGAACAGCGCGCATGAGAGTCTTCTGTGGTAGCGCATGCGCAGTTCGTACCGGTGGGCCCATCGTACCGTGTCGGACGTGAAAAAACTGGCGCCTTAAACTCTCTAATAGGGAGTTTTAGGGAACTGTTTTTGCACATCCGATACCGTACGATGGGCCGTCCGGTAAGAACAGCGCGCATGAGAGTCTTCTGTGGTAGCGCATGCGCAGTTCGTACCGGTGGGCCCATCGTACCGTGTCGGACGTGAAAAAACCGGTGCCTTAAACTCTCTAATAGGGAGTTTTAGGGAACTGTTTTTGCACATCCGATACCGTACAATGGGCCGTCCGGTACGAACAGCGCACATGAGTCTTCTGTGTTAGCGCATGCGCAGTTCGTACCGGTGGGCCCATCGTACCGTGTCGGACGTGAAAAAACTGGTGCCTTAAACTCTCTAATAGGGAGCTTTAGGGAACTGCTTTTGCACATCCGATACCGTACGATGGGCCGTCCGGTACGAACAGCGCACATGAGAGTCTTCTGTGGTAGCGCATGCGCAGTTCGTACCGGTGGGCCCATCGTACCGTGTCGGACGTGAAAAAACTGGTGCCTTAAACTCTCTAATAGGGAGCTTTAGGGAACTGTTTTTGCACATCCGATACCGTACGATGGGCCGTCCGGTACGAACAGCGCACATGAGAGTCTTCTGTGGTAGCGCATGCGCAGTTCGTACCGGTGGGCCCATCGTACCGTGTCGGACGTGAAAAAACTGGTGCCTTAAACTCTCTAATAGGGAGCTTTAGGGAACTGTTTTTGCACATCCGATACCGTACGATGGGCCGTCCGGTACGAACAGCGCACATGAGAGTCTTCTGTGTTAGCGCATGCGCAGTTCGTACCGGTGGGCCCATGGTACCGTGTCGGACGTGAAAAAACTGGTGCCTTAAACTCTCTAATAGGGAGCTTTAGGGAACTGTTTTTGCACATCCGATACCGTACGATGGGCCGTCCGGTACGAACAGCGCACATGAGAGTCCTGTGGTAGCGCATGCGCAGTTCGTACCGGTGGGCCCATCGTACCGTGTCGGACGTGAAAAAACTGGTGCCTTAAACTCTCTAATAGGGAGCTTTAGGGAACTGTTTTTGCACATCCGATACCGTACGATGGGCCGTCCGGTACGAACAGCGCACATGAGAGTCTTCTGTGGTAGCGCATGCGCAGTTCGTACCGGTGGGCCCATCGTACCGTGTCGGACGTGAAAAAACTGGTGCCTTAAACTCTCTAATAGGGAGCTTTAGGGAACTGTTTTTGCACATCCGATACCGTACGATGGGCCGTCCGGTACGAACAGCGCACATGAGAGTCTTCTGTGTTAGCGCATGCGCAGTTCGTACCGGTGGGCCCATCGTACCGTGTCGGACGTGAAAAAACTGGTGCCTTAAACTCTCTAATAGGGAGCTTTAGGGAACTGTTTTTGCACATCCGATACCGTACGATGGGCCGTCCGGTACGAACAGCGCACATGAGAGTCTTCTGTGGTAGCGCATGCGCAGTTCGTACCGGTGGGCCCATCGTACCGTGTCGGACGTGAAAAAACTGGTGCCTTAAACTCTCTAATAGGGAGCTTTAGGGAACTGTTTTTGCACATCCGATACCGTACGATGGGCCGTCCGGTACGAACAGCGCACATGAGAGTCTTCTGTGGTAGCGCATGCGCAGTTCGTACCGGTGGGCCCATCGTACCGTGTCGGACGTGAAAAAACTGGTGCCTTAAACTCTCTAATAGGGAGCTTTAGGGAACTGTTTTTGCACATCCGATACCGTACGATGGGCCGTCCGGTACGAACAGCGCACATGAGAGTCTTCTGTGGTAGCGCATGCGCAGTTCGTACCGGTGGGCCCATCGTACCGTGTCGGACGTGAAAAAACTGGTGCCTTAAACTCTCTAATAGGGAGCTTTAGGGAACTGTTTTTGCACATCCGATACCGTACGATGGGCCGTCCGGTACGAACAGCGCACATGAGAGTCCTCTGTGGTAGCGCATGCGCAGTTCGTACCGGAGGGCCCATCGTACCGTGTCGGACGTGAAAAAACTGGTCCCTTAAACTCTCTAATGGGGAGTTTTAGGGAACTGTTTTTGCACATCCAATACCGTACGATGGGCCGTCCGGTACGAACAGCGCACATGAGAGTCCTCTGTGGTAGCGCATGCGCAGTTCGTACCGGAGGGCCCATCGTACCGTGTCGGACGTGAAAAAACTGGTCCCTTAAACTCTCTAATAGGGAGTTTTAGGGAACCGTTTTTGCACATCCGATACCGTACGATGGGCCGTCCGGTACGAACAGCGCACATGAGAGTCCTGTGGTAGCGCATGCGCAGTTCGTACCGGAGGGCCTGTGGGATGCTGCGTCGTGGTGACGAGCGAATCCCAACATAGAAAAGGAACGGCGGTTTTATTGCCTCGGCGGCGTCGGTCGACGGACGTTCCTCTGTCCCGCGTGACAGTGTAGCGCGCGGCCGTGCTTCCCCGAAGCAGACGACGACAAGGTTGTATAGCGCCAAAATGCTGGTGATTGTGCGTCGCCACATCCCCCCCCCCCCCCCCCCCCCCCCCTCCGCGGAGTGGAGAGCCCTCAGGGCTTGTAAAAATCCGGGAAGCGTATTTGACGTCCACAACGGGTTGTGACTGGCGTGGGCTGCGGTGTCGGGAGTTGTGGCTGGACGCTTGAGGATGCACTCGGGTTGTTTGATTCGTTCGAAATGATATATGCTGGCTTCAGCCGGTCGATAGAAACGCGGATGTCCTTCCCGTTCACGTGTAGAGTGAAATCTTTCTCGTCGCGACGGGTAACCCGGTAGGGTCCGTTGTAAGGCGGCTGAAAAGGCGCGCGGACGGTGCCGTCGCGAAGGAAGGCGTGTGTGAACGTCGCCAGATCCTTAAAAACAAAAGGCGTAGGCTTGCAGTGATGCGCAGCAGGTGACGGGCGGAGGGCGGCGATAGTGCGTCGGAGCCTGGTGACAAAATCGATGGGGTCTGATGTGGCGATGGTGGATTGTGGGGCAACAAGAAATTCCCCTGGTAGGCGAAGGGGTTCCCCGTAGACTAGCTCTGCGGGTGTAGCTTGAATGTCCGGTTTGAAG